TATATATATATATATATATAATGTAAATTAACATTTTGTAAAAATAACTACGTAAACAGGTAATAACCTACCGTGATTGCTAATGCACATGATTACTAAATAGATGTACTGCAGTATAAAAATCACCAAATATAAGCCCGTTGAAATGTGAAAATGTGCCAAGGTACATGTTGACGGAATAGCATATCCTGCTTGATGGCCCAGAATAGTTATATTAATTTTGGCTTCCTCACTGCTTAATTGTGCGTGTCCCACGATGAAAATTACCGAATCGACATAAGAGATCAATAAGGCGATAATGCAGATTATCCTTCCCCAGAAAGCATGATTTCGAATAATGATACGTTTCTCCTCGGTGTCGATTGTAACATAATCGTTCATAGCAGAAGAATAATTGCAAATCAGATTATCAGCATATATACGAAACCATATTATTTTTGTTAAAGCAAGAATACCGCATGAAAAGAGCGTGAGAGCGTCAAGATTCGCGGTTGCGCTTGTGCAATTGTAATAGAGTTCGAGATACTGTACGATTACCACCACACTCTGCACATAAAATAAAAATGGATCTGTTGATTGAGATTCGATTATGTGAGCAAAATAAAATATCGATATTTCATAGTAAATATTCACACATCGAAGACACAAGGAGAAGAAAAATTTTGTTTCATGAAAATTGGAAACGTACCAACCCAAAGCTAGAAAAGATATGACGCAATAAAGCGAACTTGTTGTATTCTTGCAAGGGCCAAGCACCTATGGGTATAGTTAAGTGTTTGACGAGGGTCATAGCGTACGCTATATCGTCATTCGATGACATTATGGCAGTCAAGAAAAGATGCACTGTATTCACGAATGTCAGTCTTTGTCCATAATGCGATAAAATTCGCGTTCGCATTCATATTTTATTGAAGTGTAGACACCATTTGAATACTTATCCGTATACTCTGTTATTTTCCGAAGTACAGTTGTTCAGAACAATTGATGTAAACTTATTTTTATGAAAGTATAAAAGGGTAAAAAATAAAAAGAAAACGGAAAGAGAAGAGAAAGTTTTTTTTTGTTTTGATCGTCTTTTATACGACTGTCATGAGTTGTCAACATTGTAATATAATTTCTCCTGCAATACATTTTTTCATAAAGAAAAGTATAGAGAGTATAGCACAGTTTTGAATTCAATTTATCAGTTCATGAATCATCGCTAAATAATTAAAAATATTTTTTGCGTGCATATCTTGTTAAAGGTGCGCAATTTTAATATCCAACAACTCATCAAGTATTTATCAATTTGTGTAAAACAGATCAGAAATAAGGATTTAAAATTTTGTTTTTATTTGTTCAGGTTGAGATGTTTCGCAAGATATAATTTTTAATTTGATAAAAAGTTGTCCTCACATCATAATAAAGACTATATTTCTTGTTATATAATATTTACAGAAAGAAGATTATAAGTGTTTAAAAAAATAGACTGTACATAGATCGATAAAACAAAAAATAACAAGTGTGTACAAATGTGTATACGTAACAAATATATCCCTTGATTAAGAGCAGTTGAAAGTAATAGACAATGTAAGGTACTGAAATATAATATACTATATATTTTTTATTTTACTTATTAACATATATCGCTTTTTATACCGCAGGAATTATTGAGGATTTTCTGATTTGTTAATTGTTACCTGTAAAAACGATATGTATGTTAAGGTGGTTTTCAAGATATCTGTCATAGTGTTTCGCGTAAGATAGAAAAATTTTCCGGCACTAATTCGAAGAGGAGTCTTTATTCTCATCATAATGAATATCAGATCTTTCACCATGACAGGTGACATTTCATCCCATGCGGTGCTATATATAGCGTAGAGAATTGACTCGCTTCGATTCTTCAAAGTATCTCCGGCATACGTATACAAAAAGGTTTGTACCATATAAAATTGAATGCACACAAACATTTTTACCATTTCCTTGTAATCTTGTTGCTGGATTGATAGGAGAATCCCTACTCCTGAAAACACACAACTCTTCGAATTATGAATGTATTATATTATGTTAATTTAAATTTTTAGACTGGATGTATTTTATGCATTAAAGTATTTCATAATAAGTTTCATAATGTTTATTAATATTTTATTATTTTTTTATATTGATACTTTAATCTTTCTTATTATGAACTTTACTTTAAACTTTACAAGTAATTCAATGATTCTAATGACATGAATGTATTGCGAAACTGTTTTTGTAATTTTTATAGTTTTTACTGGCAAGTTTTGAGATATAATTTTATGCTTTTGTAATATATCATTCAACATAGATCAATATAAAATCAAAAAGATTGATTTAAATACATACCTGAGGATGCAATAACTACGCTAATTATTAAAAGTCGTAGTAAAATGTTGATATTAAAAGCGTCTTCAATATTTCTGGTCAGTGCTATCAACTGGCAATGTCTTTTGACCAATGGCCCTAAAACATTTCTATGACGCTTTTCGTCGTAATGTTTCTTGCTGATTTCCGTAAATTGTATCCCCAAAAGTTCTAGTTGACCGCAAAGATGCATAGTGATGCCGAAGAAAAAACTGTCGCAAGCACATTCTGATATCAATATCAAAGATCCTTGTATTACTTGCATCATAAACAATATTTTGTACGTGGAATACGAAATCCCTTTGTACAGACACGTTGATGGAATGACAAAATTCCACGTAGCTACAGTATCATTATCTATAATTACAGCCTAGAATAAATTAATTTTTACAAAATAAAACATTTCCTTTATTGACAAAATAAGTTTCAATTTTACTCAACAATAGTTTTATGAAGATTTAATACAACCTCTTGTTTATTGCTGAGGAAGACTGATATGAACCATAAGGCGCCTGCCGTTGTTCCAGCGATTAAGTGAGTTAGGGCGATTAGACGTCCTGCACGTGCATATCCCATCATCACCATACGCGACTCTTTCTTTATAGACGAAGATGACCAATCGTCGATTGCAGAATTGAGATTAATGGCAATCTTTTTCATGTAAATTCGTGGGAAAACAATGTTTGACCACGCATGCATACAGCTTTCTATTAGACGAAGAATATCCAAACCGTCTCTAACAGCATCACAGCTCTTGAAAGGTTCTATCAGCACGTTGATCATTGTGAGAGACTGCACGGTAGCAAATATAAAATTGCATTCTCATGTGAAGTTGCACTACATCAAAAACAGTAAATATCGAGAAACGACGTTTAAACTGTTTTAAAATTTTAATCACCAATTGTTCTTTATGCTTAAACTATTTATGATTAATTATAATAAATCATTGTGTATAATATGTATCTTTCAATGTATTATATTTTATATATTTTGTATATATGCATGTCATTACACGTATTATAGAATTTATTCCAATCACATACAGATAATAGACTTAATTAATGAACAATTTAAAGTTAAAATTCTTATAATTTTCAACTTGACTGAAAAAGATTTAAGTAAATGCAGTGCAACTGTTTACCTTAATTTTTATATTAAGAAATTGCATATTTTTTTCTCTTACCATTACAAGTAGCTAATTTCTACATTGTATGTTATCTTATATTATGTTACGTTATTTTACCCCTGCTATAAATATTATGAACCACTGAATCGTGTAAACTACATTATCCTGCTGCAAAGGCCATAAACCAAGTATCCACATCATCGATTTTATCGTAGAGAAACCATAATCTATACCACTGTTCCAATTTGTCTTCATGTTCGGCGATGTATTAGTTGGTTTCGACCTCAAAAAGAAAAATTGTAGTCCTGCGTGACCGGATATTGCTCGGATCGATGGCTTACTTTTGTCCCGAAGCAAATTACTACGTCTATATGCACCTAGTTCTTCCGCACTGACCAACCTTTAGGGTGGTAAGATAAGTATATGATACAAATTTGTGTCTCTCTACCGCATCTTTTGAACCCCCACGGGTAATGCGCACAATTTTCAACGTATACTGTTGTGTCAGTGCATGAACATAGATGCTCGCGGTCAATTACCAGTTGAACGACGATGTTCTGCATATAGTAGGTTTACGTTTCTTTTCCACGAATAAAATGTTTTTTTGTTGTATCACCTAAGCGACGTATGAATAAAGTAAAAAAAAGGACTGAAGCTATCTATCGGCAGTACATGTGACAAAGTAGAAGAAGTTATGGTTATAAAAGGAACAGTGAGTTTCTGTTCTAAGAGCATGGCTAAACTTTTGATAATAATTACTAAAATAATAATAATAATAGTATAGTAATAAGTAATTATTATTTACTTACAATAGTAATTAAAACTATTTATTTTTTTTATATTTTTTATTATCAATATAATAATTATATATAGGAATTATAAGTATATATTTAAAAGTATTTTTTTAATTAATTCTATTTTACATAGTATTAATTTTTATATGATTTTTATTCTGCAAGTTATAGGCACCTATCATGGAATAAGTTGGAATGGATTCCAATCGAAATTATTCAATTATTTTCTAGATTTCTATTGTGTTTTCTAGGGAAAATGGAATAATTCCGGTCGGAATTCATTCCGACATATTCTATGATAGATACCCTGATCAAATTTGTTGATTTTTATTAATCTTTTAGCGCCATTCGCAAAACCGAAATATATGAAGCTGCCGTCTTCAGAACGTACACTATTGCCTCGCAATTAGTGTAGAAAAATTTTCCACCAGTGAAACGAAACGGATAGCTTGACCTCATCATAGCAAAGTTCAAATCCTTCATCATCGTTGCAGGAAGTGTAAACCAGGAAGCTTTAAACATTGCATGGAATATATCTTCACTTCCTTTTTGTATAAAATCACCGCCATAGCAATATAACAGCGATTCCAAAAGCATATAGTTCAAAAGTACAATACTTTTCATTAATTCGACATAATAATGATGTTTTAAACAAAATATTATACGTAATCCTGAAAGAAACAAAAAGATGAAAACTCAAAGATTAATATAATACAATACGATTAAAATTTTAATCACAATATAATATAATACGGTATATTTAAATATTGATAAAAAATAAGAATTTATATAAAAAATCATTAAATTCACAATAAATTCGACATACAATGTTTGATACGATACCTAGTAGCGCGAGCAGAAGCGTTACTATAACAAGTTGGAATAATATAATCAGATTAAACGTATCTTCTAAATTCTGATAGAGTTCCGTTAATTCGCAGTGCCTGTTAATCAAGCTAATAAAGCGCTTGCGATGATTTATCTGAGTATCTGGCTTACTTGCAAAATTTTTTAATTTTTTTTTTAGTACTTTAAGTTGACCAGTGAGATGTAGAGTAACATTAATATAAAGACTGTCTCCAATAGGTTGCATTGTACATATTATGAATAATTGAACAATTTGAAAGCCGATAACCATCGAGTACTGTAAGCCGTTAATTTTGTTACCGAAATCACCACATGGGATCATAAATAGCCTATCTGTTGTACTAACATTACCTGTACACAATAAGAATACAATTCTTAAGAATAACAATATAATTAATTTAGATATTAGAATAAAAGAATTAAAGTTAAAAAAAATAAATAATAAAATAATGTAATAAACATAGAATTAAAGTTTCAATGCTTTTTGTTTAAACATTTTTAAGATTCTAGTAAGAAAATTTTAATTTAGATTATGTCTACCCATATAGGGTCGCCAGTAGTTACAACGAAACCAATACGTAGTCAACGCTACGATTGTCGACTAAGGTTTTGTCAACCAGTACTGAGCCGTCACTGGCAAATGACTGACTAAAATGACTGGACCAGTAC